TAAATTTAGAGGCTCTTAGTATATATACATATATGTCTTAAAAATCAAGAAAATGTGGAATTGAAATTTGGTTTGCTATATTTGAGTTCTCATTAAATATTTTAATAGTCTTTCACTTCCCTTTATTATCATGTTTGTAAGTGATTTCTAAATAACTTAAAAATAAATTTTAAAAGTTCTTTCAACCTAGGTAGTAAATGGTGATAACTATTTTTCTTGGTATACTAGTGTTAAACAGGCATTTAAAGCAAAAAACATTGTAATATTAGGGATGAACTGCAAACCTGAATGGGTTCTGGGACTGTCTGAAGAATTGAGACTAGTTATTGGATTTGCACCAATCTGCTTCTGCCTGGTAGAACAAATGTAGCTGAGATAGCCAGAGATTTGAACATGAACAAGAATTTAATGGGATGTAGGAAAGCAGAGGAGAAAATAACCTTATGTAAAACTGAAAAAATTAAGCACTCAACAAGCAGACTCAAAGCATTAAAAGTATTGTTATAAAGACAATGATTAAAATTTATTTTTACCTTCAACAAAAATATAAAAAAGTAGGAAATGACAGCATAGATTAAATTCAGTAATGCTTACTAGATTGAAAAATATATATTACATGTTATTATGTTTCTGAGTGTTATGTTGATCCATGTAAATCTATTATTCATTTTAATGTTTGATATTCCATTTCCTACTGAGGAAGAATCAAGATGTTCCTACTATTTCCCCCATTATGAATCGTGCAGCAATCAACATACTAATACATGTCATTTGTGCACAAGTGCAAGAGGATTTCTCTAGGGCAGTTGCCTTGAGGTAGAACTCATGAGTCATGGAGTTTGTGTATCTTCATTTTTATAAGATGTTGTCAAATTAATCTGCAAGATACTACTGACTTGGCATAATCTTCTAGATACTATGAATAGTAATGTATATAAAGCCCTCTTTCTCCACAACCTCACAAACTTTTTGTGGTTACTCTTGAAAATTCTGCCAGGTTGTTTATAAAATAATGTCTTTTTTATTATGTGTTTTCCTGATTCACTTGCTTATCTTCAGTTATATTTTCAGTATTCTCACATGAGAACATGTTACATCTTACCATTTATTAGTTCTTAAAAGTTTCAAAATGTTTATAATTTTCTCCTTTAATTTTCCTGTTAGCTTTAATTCTAGGTATCTTATCATTCTGACTGCTGTTGTACATGAAAATTTTTTTTAAGGTACATTTTCAGTATCTTCACATTTTGAGTCTTGTTATTCCTTTCTTGCCTTCTAAAGAAGGTAATCTTTTTTTCTCTAGCTTCTTTTAAGGTTTTCTCTTTGTTTTTTGTTTTCAGCAATTTGACAATGATTGTATAGGTGTAGACTTCTTTGGTGTTTCTTTTGCTTGAGGTTCGTATCACTTTTGGAATCTATGGACTGATGTACTTCATCAGTTTTAGAAAGTTCTAAACCATGTTCTCTTCAAATACTGCTTTGCCCCATTCTCTTTCTCCCGATTTTCTAGAACTTCAAGTATATGCACTAGACCTTCTCACAGTATTTTCTTTTGGCATTCCTTTCATCCTTGTTTCTATTTTTGTCTTTCAGTTCACTAATTCTCTCTTCAGATGTGCCTAATGTGCTCTTTAAACCCACAAACCACTTGAGTTTATTTCAGTTACTGAATTTCTCATTCCCAAAATTTCTATTTGTTATTTTCTTTACAGTTTACACTGCTCTGCCAAAATTCTTGGTCTTGTGTTTCTCTTTGAACATGATAAATGTAGATATTTTTAAAGTCTATATCTGAGAATTCCAATGTCTTCAGGTCCAATTTCTATCATCTTTTATTTATCTTTCTTCATGTTGTTTATGTCTTTTGTGGTTGCTTTTGGTTATAAGTCAGGCATTGCATTTGAAAACTATAGAAATAATCTGTGGACTTACATATTACCTTCCTCCAGGAAGGATCTATAATTTTGCCAGATGCCTTGGAGCACTGGCAATTTAGGAACCCTCAATCTGATTTTAGAGAATGACATGATTCAAAGCTAATTTGTAGCTTCTGTGAGACCATGTCTATTTCTGGTTAACCCTTGCTTCTATGGTGTAGCTTTCAGGGTTCCAATTCACAATAAAGCATATTCATCAGATATCCCCCTTTGTAGGCCATGGGCTTTAATCTCTGCTTCCCTTACTTTTACTAGCCTGTCAAAAGGGCTACTTAACTGTGAGTGACTCTTCCAGCAATGGCTAACCTCTCTAGACAAACAATGACCCCATACACCAGGACCTTTTCTCTGGGTGTCCATTTTCCCCCTAGATTTAATAAGCTCTTTGATGCCTTTAAGCAAAAAATTTTTAAATATTTTGTTGAGCTTTTCTGGTAGTCTTCAGTGGCAGCCATGATTCAAATTACCTTATGTGCCACTACCAGAACCAGAAGTTCCCAATTTTATCTACATTTTCACCAATTCCACTGCTCTTGGATACAAGATACAAGAACTGTTTCTGGGTTCAACTTCCTTCAGTCTCAAGTACATCCTACTTCATATTCTTTTAGCAAGCTTCTGTGAAGAGTTAGTTCTACTAGTCTTTGCCTAATAAAATATCTTTTTTCACTTTTATTTCTGAATAAGAATTCAGCTGGGTATAAAAAATTTAAGTTGACAGTTTCACTTAGCTCTGTGAAGCTTAGTCTACTGTTTTCTGGTCTCTATTGCTGTTGTTGAAAAGTTTGCTGTCAACATAATGGATATTGATTACCATCATCATTTTTTTCTTGATATTAAGGTGTTTCTCTTCTCTCTCGGCATTCTCTAGTTTCATACAATGGGTCTAGAAATAACTTAATTTTTATTAATCCTATTTGGGCTTATGGTGCTACCTGAATCTGAATATTTATGTTTTTGATATTCTAGAAAATTCTTTGCCATTCTACCTTTTAATATTGCCTCTATACTATTCTCCTATTTGGACTTCTCATTTTAACTCTAAGCTTCTCAACTTCTCTTTTCTTTTTCCATCTCCTCTCTCTCTCTCTCTCTCTCTCTCTCTTTATGCTATATTCTGGGTGGCTCTTTAGATCTATTCTCCCATTTATCACTTCTCTATCTCTGAACTTATTAGCTTATGTTTAACCTGGCTGCTGAGTTTCAAATTTTGATGATGATATTTTCCATTTTTTGAAGCTACTTTAGCTTTTCCTGTGAGAATCTCTTGTGGCCTGCATTGTTGGAGCAATCCTTGGGATATATGCTTATATCTAACAAGCTTATGGTATTGTCAGCTTAGGATTCATCTTTAATTTCTCAGCTTGGGGCTCCAGACCATATAGGTATGCGTGTATTTCTTTTTTTTCAAACCCTAAGCAAGAGTTAAGGATCCATGGTTTAGAATTTAATGGGAAATTCCACAGCTCTCACTCCAGAACCTAGGCAGATAGTTAAATGTTTTTGTTATTTCTCTGTGCTGGTAGCCAGATATTTTCTATCTGATTCTTTTCATTGAGGACACAATCCTTCTGAAGTTTCCAGTTCCTGGTCCACACAGTAAGTGGGTTCAAGGGCTTGTTTTCTGTTCCATAGAGGCTGCTAAAACCCAAAGTCATACATTATCAAAATCGAAAGCTGTAGCTCATATCTTTACCACTCTAATTTTATAGTTTTCTTTTCATTTCTGGAGATTTCTTTTTCTTTCCTGAGAGTGAAATTATGCATTTAAAATGATTTTAACTTTGTGTTACCCAGTATTTAGAGGTGTTTGAGGGAGGAAGGTTTTCAGGTGACCTAGTCTACTGTATTGCCAGAATCAGAAATCCATGGCATTCTTTTTAAACTTTCTGTCAATAAAATGAATATGTTAATACTAGTGTGTTAGTCAGGGTTTTCCAGAGAAATAGAACAAATAGGATGGATCTATAGATATCTACATCTATATATAACTATATCTCTATAGATATCTATGTATCTGTAGGTCCATCCTATTGTGCAAGATATACATAGATACATAAAAACACGTATACATAAGTACAGATATATATATCTAGATCTATATTTTTATCTATCTATCTATTGAGAGATTACTTATAAGGAATTGGCTAACAGAGTTATGGGGGCTGACAAGTCCCAAGATCTGCAGTTGGCAAGCTGGAGACACAGGAGACCCAATGTTGTAGTTCCAGCTCACAGGTCTGCAAACTTGAGATGTTTCAGTTTGAGTCTGAAGGCAGGACAATCCGATGTCCTAGTATAAGGCAGTCAGGCAGTAGGAAATTCCCTCATACTCAAGGGAGGGTTAGCCTTTCTATTCTAACAGGCCTTCAACTAATTGGATAGGGCACACCCACATTCAGGAGGGCAACTGCTTTATTAAGTCTACTAATTCAAATGGTAATCTCATCCAGAAATATCCCCAGAAATACTCCTAGAATAATAACCAAATGTCAGGGTACCCTGAGGCCCAATCAAATTGACACATAATATTAACTATTACAATTAGAAAACTGGTTTGATTTTTAACTTATTTTCTTTTTTTAAGACTCAAATCAAGCTTTCCTTTGAGACCTAACAACTCATACCTGTCACTCTACAAATGAGTTGACTCAGTAGTAAGCAAGTTAGTTTTCTGCACATGGACTTCACATATATATATAATTCTACAAGTCCCTTTATGGATTTAATTTCCCCCTTTTCCAAAGGATAAGTGACTTCAAATCTCTAGACGTAATGTGGAATAAAAGTGTTACCTGAAAATACATTCATGATCTGTTTTTGCAAAGCCTTTGGTTTATACAATCATCTTTCTTAGTATCATGAACATGTGGGTAATGACATCTACTCACATCATGCAAATCCCCCATAATACCTGGTTCAGTGATATAACTTGTACTAAATACATTTCACTTGCTAGTTTTTCTAAGTATAGATCATAGTAACAAGTTTTCCACCATAACTCCTGAGTTTCATTTATCATATAAGTGATAACAAACTTTTACTAAATTATATTAACATTACCCTCCTTTGCTCCTCTTCAGCATCAGCAAAGAGTTTACGAATGTTAGCCTCTGATTCTCCCACATATTTGTTAAGGATTTCTGGTCCATTGACCACTTTGGGCTCTCTTGCATTTAACATCTTGCCAATCTGTCGAGCCAAGAGAGTCTTACCACAACCCGGGGGCCCATATAACAGGATGCCTTTAACATGTTTGCAACCTAAAAAGAAAAAGAAAACAGTCTTACATCAACTAACTAAAATCTAATCAAGATATCTAAAAGAAAGTTTTCCTTCTTTTTCATATGCATATTAGGAAAAATACAGTCATGCCATTAACATATATTAATGCCCAGGTGCCATGAACAGAACAAGAATGAACAACTGAAGCTCTTTTTTCAGTAGAAAATCTAGAAACACTTCCTATACCAGCACCAATATTTGAGGGGGAAAGCTGCCAATTAAAGGTCTTTGGAAAAGTATACTTAACTATCATTTAGAACAAATATTTTTAACTCTGAATATTTCTCTTTGACTTATATATGTAATTAGGAACTATTACTTATTTTTCATTACCCTTTATATTGAAGGCAGGGAAAAAAAGAGATCTGTTTCTAGGCAAATTTAACTCAACACAAATCTATTATGATACAGTAGGCTATGGAAACTGTATCTTAGTCATAGAAATTACAGGTTTACCTGTCAATACAAGCCCTTAAAGAAAGGGCAAACATGTCTGAGTTGGACTGGTGTAGAGCAATCCATAGGATCCAGATGGATGTTACAGACTTTGTGGATAAACGTGAATGTCCTACTTCATGTGACTAATATAAGGCACATGATTTCTCAGGGCCACCCCAATGAAGATGAAGTTTCAAAAGAATAGTGTTCAATTCTTTTCTAGGGAAGCATTGCTAAATGCTTTGAAGGTATGATCAACAAGTGCAAAATAACAAGACTGATGACTTAGACTCCCCAGTACTTCTTTGGCCAACTTTACAGGAGCATTTACTCCATTTCTTAAGATACAGATGACCCGTGGTTTCTGTTTACTCATTCTAGGAATTCTCACTTGTCTAGCAGCTTCCATTTAAGATGCATCGCCCTTTTCCTAGGAGTTTTTTCTTTATACTATACCAAAAGAGCACTCTATGAAATGATGAGTTATTAAATAAAGTTAAAGCTACAGTTGAAAAAGAAAATCTCTGGAAATGTAATATAAATAGTTTCTATGGAAAACAGCTTTTCCTCATTTAGAAAAAAGGCTTTCAAAAATTGTATCTTTAAGAAAAAATTATGACAAAACATTTAATAACCCATATAAAAGGAATCACAAGATATAACCAACTCTACTATATATTTTAGATTCTGAGAAGGAAGCCCCTTTGGGTCTTCCCAGTATGGTCACTGCTTCTGTCTTTATGTAAAAAAAAAAACACTCCCTTTTAAATCCTTCAAAGAAATGAGAGCTGTGTTTATGATGAAGTTTGTAGGGACAAGGGGAACTTAGGGGAAACTCTTTTAGGATCTTAAGCCCTTCTCATCACAGAGTAAATTCCTGTCCTAAAAACGATGACCCAATAAAACGTCTTTGCCCTTGACCCACCCCTGGAGCATGAGTGTTAGGGAAGCCACTGGGAAACAGCTGATGAAAACCTTGGAACCTGGCTCCTAGTCTTCCCCATTAATTCAACTGCTACAATCATGATTTGCAACTACTCATATAAACCACAGCAGAGGCAGGTGGTGCTGATGGTGAAACAGGCATAAATTGAGTAGAGCCTGAAAGGAGAACATGAAGATTTGCTAAGTACCTACAAAATACCTAAGTACCTAAACCTCATCTCCAGTTTCTTAACTTTGTCCAAGTTATCAACTTCCTCCTGACTGTACTTCCTTCCATATTGAGCCATACTTTCTTTCAAGGATTATCAACTCTTTGGTCTTCTTATTCTTCTGTAATACCCATCCCACAAGCCCTGAACGCAGTATGGCTTTACTGCATACAGTTTACCTACACACTGGCTCCAGAGCCCAGCCAGGGGAAATTACTTCACTGTGCTGACTGATAGCCTCACAATTTCATGCTATTCAATTTCAGTTCTACTCTTACTGCTTTCTCAATACTGCATTGCCATCCTTTACGTTTTTTTTGGTTAGTTAATTTCCTACTCTCCTTAGTAATTATCCAGATCTTTATCAGTCTTCTCAAGTGCTACCCCATGCCATTAAGTCTTCCAGACAATCTAGACTCTACTTTGCATATTAAAAAAAAAAAGATCATCAGGTATGAACTCCCTTCAGCTCCCTCCTTCTCTATCTAAAAATTTATCTACAGACACATCAATTCTCAATGGGTCTCAAAGGAGTTTCCTCTCTTTTCTACAAGGTTTAAATTACAATTATTTGTTTATATACCTTTATCTCTATTAGACTGTGAAGCTATTCAACAGCATGTACTCATCAATCCAGGATCACAAACACTTAGAATAATGCCTAGCACATAATATGTACTCAATAAATGGCTGAATAAGTAAATTGTTGGTTTTTTTCCTATAAAAACTCAAAGACAATAAGGGAGAGAAGACTGCTTTAAAAAATTATTTGAAGCTCTTAGTTTATGGAACAGTGCTTACCTTCATTGCTAAACTAATTTACATGCCTAAAACACATTTGCAATGACTGGGACTTTGCAAATTTAGCATAACAAACTACATAATATATAAATAGAGGTCTTAACTTATGATGGGGTTACATCCTGATAAACCCATTATAAGTTGAAAATATCACTAAATCAACAATGCATTTAATACAACTAGCTGTGGAACCATAATTGTTTAGCCTGGCCTACATAAACATGCTCAGAACACTTACATTAGCCAACATTTGGGCAAAATCATCTAACACAAAGTCTATTTTATAATAAAGTATCTCATGGAATTTACTGAATACTATACTGGAAGTGCAAAACAGAATGGTTGTATGGGTACAGAATGGCTGTAAGTGTGTCAGTTGTTTATCCTTGTGATTGCGTGGCTGACAGGTAGCTGTGCTCACTGCTGTTGCAGCGTTTAGTAAGGTATATTGCTAGCCTGGGAAAAAGATAAAAATTCAAAATTCAAAGTATGGCTTCTAATGAATATATATTGCTTTCACACCATCGTAAAGTCAAAAAATTGTAAGTTGAACCATCATAAGCCAGGGGACTGTGTGCACTAGAAACTTTAACTTTGTTTTTGTATGTGTAAAATGTTTGATTTAATGTGTTTTGAAGTAAACTGATTCAGATCTTATAAAACAATTCACAAAATATTACCATCAAGTTTGAGTGAAAGAAATGCATACTTGTGGAACTTACAGATATTAGATATTACAGATCTATGTAATGACAGAATTTATTTAGTGTTAAGATCAACAGGAATGTCATAGAAGCTCTAGTATGTATTAGAATATAATTCTTTTAGGATCTCAAGAAAGCCCATCAAAAATATACATTGAAATGTGAAGGTTTTCAAAATTCACTTCCACAAAGGAAGCAGTTACTTGAACAAGCAGTGGAAATGGGACTTTGTTATTACTACTGTTATTAGAGTCTATTCTGACTTATTAAATAAGCATTGGTCTCTAATTTTAAATGAGTCATAAAAACTCTTCATAAATAATTCCATTCAATAAAAGTGTATTAAGCTCCTGTTTGGACTAAGCAAGAAACTAGGTGTTATAAAGATACAAACATGAAAAAGGCAGTCCCTACCTCCAGGGCATTTCTGCTTTAGTAGGAAAGACAGAAATGAAAATAGGTTATCTATAATAAAATAGGACATTATCAGAGACATGTATGAAATGTTTTCGGAACCTAGCCAAGAAAGACTGATTCTGCCAGGGTGATGGCAGAACATTAGAGATGGACACAAGGAAAGAGGTAACATTCAGTCTGGACCTGAAGGACTGTGGAAGGTTCATGGTTGGGCAAGGGAGAGGAAATGGCACCCTAAAGAGAGAGAATAGCATGATCAAAGGCATAGAGGTATGGATGTAGAAGCTGTCCTCTCAAAACAGCCAGTAGGAACCTGTTGTGGCTAGAGCCTTGGAGGTGAAGAGAAGGGAGTGCCTGAAGACGATGCTGACAGGTTCCCAACTATGGAAGGCCTTGACATCATGCCCAGGAGTTTTTAATTTGTTTTGTAAAAACCCTAAAGTTTTTAATCAGGGAAGGTTACACAATGAGATATGTGTTTAAAAACTACCTGGTGCTAGAGAGTGAAGGAAGGACTAGAGAACGAAGACCAGAGAGTGAAAATCTAGTTGGAGGAATGTTCTTAACCTTTAACTAGGGACACTGCCTTACTGATGGCTCTGGATACTTGCCAAATAAGCTTTCGTATCAAAGTTCTTTGGAAGCACATGAACAAATGACTTCAGAAGCCTAGGAGGACACCACCCTACTGATGTCCCAGCTTTCTCCTGAGCTTTTCCAGGACATTAAGGCCTAACTCTGATGTTGGGGAGCCTGTGATCTCTGGCTGCTGGACTGTCTGACTGCCAAGCTGTAATGATGGTTGTTACTTTTTCTTTCTTTACGTCTTACATGCCCCCTCATTATTCAGAGATCAGTGTCCTGGGTTAGGGAACTAAATAGCAAAGGGCAGGTATGGAAGAAGAAGAAATCAGTGGAACAGACTTAATTTGTCATATTCTCTCATTCTACCTCTTTCTTTCTTTCCCATGGGATAGTCTCAATGAACCTCCCCAGAAAAATGCACATGTACAAAACATTTGCATGCAATTTTGAGGGAATTCTTAGATCCTTTCAGGTCCATTCACAGACTCCAAATTAGAAACCACTGAATGTACTACTGAACTAATCCACACAAGAGACCAGAAACAGAAAGAGGCAACAGTCATAAGAAACAGTAATAGGAAAAGACAGTAGATACAGGAGCTTTTCATCAGAGCTTAAAGATCAAATGAAAATAAGAGAGAGAAGGAGTCATGGATGACCTTAAGGTATCTAGCCTGAGCACATGACTAAAATGATGATAACCTCAGAAGATAACCAAGAAGTCAGTAAGAGGAGAATAAAAGAAATCTTAACTTTGTTTTGGCTATAAAGCATTTGAGATTCAGGCATTAACATCCATTAAAAAATACAGTTTGACAGACCAAAATCTCACAAACCCCAGAAAAAGGGCCAAATAAAACTGAACTCACCAATCTTTCT